GGGGTGGTGTGCTGTGCGCGAGTGGGGTGGTGTGCTGTGCGCGAGTGTGGCGTGGTGTGCTGTGTGTGAGTGTGGCGTGGTGTGCTGTGTGTGAGTGTGGCGTGGTTGGTGTGCTGTGTGTGGTTGTGGCATGGTATACTATGTATGTAGCCCAGCATGCTAGTAGATGACAGTGTATCACATTGTTGAAAGGGTGGATTTTGAGGACTGTATTCTAAGAGGACTTAATCTGATTTAGAAATAAACGTTCTGTGACTTGTATTTGACTTTCAAAGGTAAATTGGGGATGGCTCTGGCTCAGTGGTTAAGCCCTGTTGTGTACTCACAAATGTTAGTTTGACTACAGACCGTCACTGCTGCTATGTATACTAATCGAGAAGAAAATCTCCTTACTCCTCCCTCTTTTACTCGGACTGCTAAAAATAATAAATATGATCAGTTCAATTTATTCATTGTTATTTTGCAGTACTGGGGATTGAACCAAGGACCTTTAAAATAGCAGACAGACACTGATCTGTTGAGCTACGTTCTATCCCCAGCTTATCCTTTAAAGCCAAACAGAAGTTATAGTTGCGGTCCATGATTGGAATTTCCTATTCTTAAATTCAGTCATTTTAGGGAGAATATAATGATAATAAATAAACGTTGCCTACTATTCAGCAAGAGCTATGGGTGAGTCAGGGTCCCTTATAGGAAATAAGAACAAAACTCATATATGCCTCCACATATCCCAGGATACATGTGTATAGACTTAGCATCAGTGCTAAACCCCTTCATGAATAGGCTAGCCCATGAGCTGACTAGTCAGTCATCTAAGAGAGGGAGCCCCATTGAGAAAATGTCCCAGTCAGATCATCCTAGACAAACTTTTTGAGCATTTTCTTGATTAATGATTGGGAAGCAGGTCACTGTGGGTTGGGCCCCGGTACAGGAGCGCAGGATAAGAAGGCTGTGAGAAGCAGCGCCTTCCATGGCTCTCCCAGTTCCCGCCTTGACAGCCCTCAGCGATGGGCTCTGTTCTGGAAGTGTAAGATGAAATAAACCCTTTCCTCCCTAAGCTGCTTTTGGTCATGGTGTTTCATCACAGCAATCAAAACCAAACCAATATATTCCAGACAGTCATGTTTAATGTCATGAACGTTACGTAAAATGAACTCTTTCTGTCGTGTAAGTGTGTGACAGTGTCAGCTACTTGCTTATAAAACACCCTGTTAGCAAACCAAATCTCTTTGTCAGTGTCGGATTCTTCAGGTATTTGATTAACACAGTTTATTGTCACTTTGGTCTTCATTTAAAGAAACAAGAATCTTGGGCACTGGAAATCTTTAATTCTTAGTAAACCTAGATTGTCATGTCTGGATTGCTGAAAATAATAACTTTAAAAATGTATTTTTTCCTTGTAGAATTTTGGGAATGCTGGCAAATCTGGAACATTAAACAAGAAACCTGGTATGTAGAACAGTGAACTTGAAAACTGACTGGTGTTTGCCCTGCCGTAGTCTTGGATCCACACTTCTGTTTTCTCCTTTCAGAGATTGCTCAAGTGACTTCAGCATATGCCGCTTCCGGTGCTGAGCAGCTCAGCCTTGCACCAGGGCAGTTAATATTAATCTTAAAGAAAAACACAAGTGGGTGGTGGCAAGGAGAGCTACAGGTAATGTTCTTTTCCAGATAAGAATTCAGGCTCATTAAAAAAAAAAGACAGAGTCGTAACACTTAGAGATGATCAGTCAACATTTAGATATATTTCCCTTGAGTCTCTGCTGCTTTGAACATAGTTTAGTTGACCTACAAGTAACAGTTTAAAGAATATTTTTCTCTAACAACATAATTGTTTTCCAGTTCATCACTCACTAGGTCATAGGTCCTTCTCTTAAAGGAAAAAGCATATTGTTATCTCTGCCTGGGACACCAACCTTGCTGTACCCCTCAAAAGAAAAGACCCGGCTGTGTGCTGAGAAAAATACTCCCCAGTGGACAGCTGTTGCCCTCACCCCCTAAGTCTTAGGCCTTGGAAACAACAGTGCAAGGAAACAGTACAGACATAGATGAACATAGTTTTTCCAAAAAATGTTAACAGCTAGTTGGCACATGTATTTTTACAGAGTAAAAGCTTTCTTTCTTATCTAATTTTCCTTGCTAACCTAAAAGCACGTTAGGGTTAAGAGATGATAAGAGAAATAATGTTTTTATATAAGTTTACATGTGATGGAAATGCATGGGAGGCAAGGCATAACTTAGTTCTGGCATGTAGTGAACAGAGATGTGCAGATTTGATACGTTCTTGACTCAGCCCCTCACTGGCCACCTTCTGATTCACTTTGAACTGACTAAATGGGAAATATGACCCTCCAGATATGCTTTAATGACTTCTTGATTATTGATGAAGCTCCAGGGTGTACTTTAAGTCATCTATACCCTTAACAGTTAAGTTGAACTTGCAAGGCTCTGGGAAGATCTCTTTAAACTGTTATTTGGACAGAATAGCCAGAGAACTTTTAATTGGAAGTTCTCTAGAGACTTCCATGACTGGCATTTTCAGAATGCTTTGAGATGCATACTGTAGTGAATCTTCCAGTTGTTTAATGTTGATCTAAAAGGCCAATGGTGAGTTCAGGGGTTCCATAACTAGTCCCCAAGACTGCTCTCAAATTAGGTAATTCATGAGAGGGGTTCTTAGAGCTCACTGAAGCTGTTATTCTGTTTGTTGTTATGAAACAGTACAGATTAAAATCAGCCTGTAGGTTAGAACAGGGGTTCCTAAAGTGGAACAAGTGTCCCTCTCCAGCAGAGCAGGGGGCAGCATGACCTTTCTCTGGAAATAATCTGTAACAACTCAAAGTTATTGCCAGCCCGAGAAGCCTGTGGGAGCCCTAGTGTTGGGGTTTTTAACTGGATCTTGTTCACAGGGTTATGATTGATTGTTCATATGGTGAACACACGACTCCAGCCCTGTCATCAGAGTGAGCTGATGCAGCATGACAAGGAGCACCAGCCATAAGTCACAGTGCTAGATTTGGTGTTCCCAAGCCTTGCAGGTGAACTAAGACACTTGCCAGTAATGATAAAGATTCTGTCTGAGGAGTCAAGTGCAAAGGCCATATGGGCAAGGTTAACTCGTCATTATAGAAATCCTAGGTTTTTTAGTTTTAAATTGTTGTTTTTAATGGTTGTTTTTAATATCATATTTTAATTACATGTTTCTTTTGCTGATTTTATAGGCCAGAGGGAAAAAACGACAGAAGGGGTGGTTTCCTGCCAGCCACGTGAAGCTGCTGGGTCCAAGTAGTGAGAGAACCACACCTGCCTTTCACGCTGGTATGAAAGTGGGTCACCCTGTGTTTTGTCTAAAAGACTTTGTTAAAGCACGGAGTGTCTTAGAGTAGCTAGCTCTTTGAAGACACAGAAAACTTGCCTTTCCTGTCCTCTGCTTCAGAGCAGCGGGTCTCTGGGAACGTCTTCCTGCAGAACTCTGTTACTCCTTGCCATGTGAAATTGTCGTTCCGTCGTATTAACGTGAAGTGGGTCACTTGGATTTGTACCTACAGTTGCTTAGTTTTTGTTTTTGTGAGACTGGGAAAGAAGATGGAGGGAGAGAGCATGTAAGGGAAATTTTTAGCCTGATTTTAGAATTTAGTAATGATTTAAACTCTAGGGACAGGGTTGATCCTTACAGGAATGCTTAATTTATTATTTTGCTTTTTTTTCTGTAGTGTGTCAGGTGATCGCTATGTATGACTATGCAGCAAATAATGAGGACGAGCTCAGTTTCTCCAAGGGACAGCTGATTAATGTTATGAACAAGGATGATCCTGACTGGTGGCAAGGAGAAGTCAATGGGGTGACTGGTCTCTTTCCTTCAAACTATGTTAAGATGACAACAGACTCGGACCCAAGTCAACAGTGTGAGTAACATCAAATTACTTACCTCTTACCTGATATGAAACCTTTAATATGCCGTATTGCATGCATTGCTATTCCAGATCAGGTATTAGCACTCACACAAGACGTAGTTACTATTTCAAATATGCTTTGTCATAAATGCGTTCTGCTAGTTTCAGACTTTAGAGTTCGTTTTTATCTTTATAAAAGTATGAATTTTCCACGTGGGTTCTTTGCTGTGATGGCATCTATCTCCCCTTTACCACCGCCACCGCTTTACAGCATCTGGTGCTCTTTCTCAGATTGATGAAAAGTAGCCAGTACTGTAATTTCTCTATACTATAATGTATCCTTTAGTGTATACATGCCATTCGTTTGGAATCCCCTCATTTATTTTTTATGTGTTTATATACTACCCAGTTTGTAAAAGTTAACCCATTTACATGCTTGTAAAACTCTCACTAGGTGATTTTTTAGAGAACTGTCTCATGCCACAAAATATATATGAATCAAGATCAGTTTCCCAGTTACATCAGACACATACAAATGAGACAGGGGTGTGGGGGAAGAAAAAGAAAGGAAGCCATTACTCTAGAGAAATCTACCTCAAATATAAAAACCTCCTAGAAAAATACCCTATCTTGTGAGAACTTTTTTAAAGCTATACTGGTCTTAATGTAGCTGGGACTGGTCTCACACTTGCTCTGTGCCTGAGGATGATCTTGAATTCCTGATTCTCCTGCTTCCAGTTTCTGATTCTGAGCACCTAGATTATAAGCCTGTATTACCATGCTCAAATAAAACTCTCTCTTTCTCTCCCTCTCTCTTCTTTTACGTTCTCTCTCCCTCTCTCCTCCCTCCAGTAGTAGTAGCAGTAGTGGGGTGGTATTGGAGGCTGATTGAACTATAGGCAAGTGCTCCTCCACCCCGATCCATGTCCCCAGTTTCTAATTCTTAAGAGAACAGGATTTGAAATTTGTTTGGTACACACATTATACAGAAATCATGAATTGGTTAACCAAGGACACATGGCAGATTGCACATGTAACTTTGAAGCCAGGCATGGTACACTTCTAGCATCCCAGCACTCAGAAGGATCATAAACTGGAATCCAGTTTAAAATCAGCCATTGTAGCAAGAGGCTGATATTGCAAGGAGGTGGGGGGAGCTTTGTTTGTCCTGGCTCCCAGGCTAGCTTACACCCGAAATAATCACACAGAAACTGTATTAATTAAATTACTGCCTGGCCTATTATCTCTAACCTCTTATTGGCTAACTCTCACATCTTGATTTAACCCATTTCTAATAATCTGTATATAACCATGAGGTCGTGGCTTATTGGGAAAGATTCAGCATGTCTGACCTGGCAGCTCCATGGCGGCTCTCTGACTCTGCTTTCTTCCTCCCAGTATTCAGTTCTGTCTTCTCCGCCTACCTAAGTTCTACCCTATCAGGCCAAGCAGCTTCTTTTTTGATTAACCAATGAAAGCAATACATAAACAGAAGGACCTCCTACACCAGGCTGCTGTGTTAGCACAGCTCCACAAGGCGACTGGCTTCATGCCCTCCTTGAAATAATATAAGGAAACTATAATCTTTGAACAAATAGGAGGGAAATCTTTCATTTATTATTGTCTACACAATATTGTCTACACAATTTAAAGAAATGAAGTCGTCATTTGCTTCAGTCAAGAAGTGTATTCATAACCAGGCAGTGGTGGCGCATGCCTTTAATCCCAGCACTCGGGAGGCAGAGGCAGATGGATCTCTGTGAGTTTGAGGCCAGCCTGGTCTACAAGAGCTAGTTCCAGGACAGGCTCTAAAACCACAGAGAAACCCTGTCTCAAAAAAACAAAAACAAACAAACAAACAAACAAAAAGAAGAAGAAGAAGAAGAAGAAGAAGAAGAAGAAGAAGAAGAAGAAGTGTATTCATTCATAGATGCCCACCACATACTGAGAATCCCAATAATCAGTGACAATACTTGCTCTGAAGTAGCTTTGGACTTCAGCTGGGAGCTGTCACATAAATGTAACACTTGCCATAGTGAATATTTATACAAATACATACCTGGGAAAGATCCCTGAGTCCATGTTGGGAGAAAGGCATGTCATTGCAGAAGGCTTCTCAGAGGACATTTGACTGGACCAAGAGGAGGAGTTACAGTTTGCTAGAAAGGCAAATGGGGATGGAAGGGAGCACTAGTTATTTCTTGATCGTCTTACCTATTTAGAGATGAGGAAATAGAACTGTCAAGGGTCAAAATAGAATAGTTTCAAAGTGCTCTTTGTTACAAAGTTATTCTCTGTATCTTATCTACTACCCTGATTTGGGCTAAGATATCTGGGGTTTTGTAGTTTGAATACATCTAAAAATAATGCTTCTTTCCTAAATGAATAACAAAGGTTCGTCATCCAGCGTGGAATTAAACAGCTCTCAGGACAGTTTCCAAATAGACCCTCTGAAAAGTCTGTTTTCCTTAAACCAGCTATTTAAACCACCTAGGAACCAGCAGCATGTCTGTTAGGTTTGCTCAAAATAGCTGTTTATTAGCTACTGGAGAGCCAAAAGTGCTGTTCAGAAATGACCAGGATTCCTTGTATTGGTAGCTATGAAAGTTAACTAAACGGAAGTTGGCATAAACCTACAGTTTCCGTAGGATATGTTCTAGAAAACACCTCATGCTTATAGTCACGAATTCATCTGAGAACTTTATTATAGCTACTTAGATATTGAGAAATGAATCAGTTATTAAGAGTCTTTGAGGCATTAGTGCTGGTTAAACTGCAGATTACCATTTGTATTTCTCTTGCCCTTATTAACACTATTTTCATTTTACTATACAATTGGGACTTTTTAAGGTTGAGGATTTTTGTGACTCAAATTTATTTAGTTGATGTTGTATGTGACTATTAGATTTTTTTCTCACCCACCTAATTTACATTATGTTCATTTTATTCCTCATTTTTCTTTTTTTAGGACCCAATGTTGTCTTCCAGTTGTGAAAGCACCCCAGAGACCCACTATCCAAGTTTGACTCTAGCGTGGAGGCAGGGCAGGCAGCCCTGATCAAATATCTCCTACACAATTCGTTTACTTCGCTTCAATGTTAGAGCCACTTGTGATTATTTATTTGTGTTTCTAATTTACAGTTAAAATTTATTTGTAACAATTTCAAGGATAGTGGGTCTTTGTGTGGCTTTCCCTGCTGTTCACTCTGGCATCCTTTAGCATTTTTCTTCCTTTTTTAATTTGGCAATTGTAGGTCATTAGCATGCATATTCAGTTTGCCCTTACATGGTGGGAGTACAAACACACAAAGACCCACTATTTGCACAAACTGTTCTGTCTGGTTTGGAATGGGCTGCCATGCTTTTCCAATGCTGTTGCAAATTGTATATTCATTATGGAATTCAGGTGATGTTTGCTTATGTTCTGCTATTATATTTGATATAATTCTAATCACGAGAGCCCATAATTGGCTCAATCTGTGATTTGCCCTCAAATAATCACTGTTTGTTACTTTCTAATATGCCATTCTAAGTACCAATAGTCAGGTTTGTTTGAAAGCCGAGAATGGAAACAGCCTTTTGTATGTTTCTGTGTAATCTGAATAGGAGCAATAATATTGGAAGAACTTCCCTTGTCTCACAGAAGATGAAAGTGGTGTGCTCTGGCCATTGTGTGCAGAGTAGTGTATGTCTGGTTTGACTTGACTGCCCAAGGATGAGTGTACGACTCGGGCAGTTCCTTTAGGGTCTCAGGTGCTCTTGGTTGCAGATCTGTGCTCCAGCACACAGTTACTGCTTTATTGATGACATAAACATCGATTGCTTTCAAGAATGGAAAGTGTCCATCATTGACTGTGAGTGAGAAACTTCCCCTAGCTTAGAGCACTTATATCTGTAATATATTCTAAAGTAGAATTTACATTATCTCTTGTAGTCAGGTGACTACTTACCTAGTATAGAAAACAGCACTGTTGGCATTCATAATGCATTTAGTAAAAATCATAAGGAATCCTTGAAGAGGTTGTGCCAGACCTGAAGCAGGCTTGAAAGCTCTAGCCAAGGACCCATAATGGTAAAGGCATGTGAGAACTGGCATTCCTCTATGCCCATGAGGCTTCTTTGAGACTAGCATATTGATGTTGCTATCCATACTTTCCTGGCTAATATTCTTCTCCCACATCGGCTCCTTTGACATAGGATTTTACCTCTTCCCTTGAATGGAAAGCACTCTAACAAAATAGACATTATTATAAACTAGTATGTATGAGAGCACTTAGCTGAAATGAAAAAGAATTTTAATACAGTATTAAACCATATTTGAAAATCAATGAGCAATTTATGCATTTTAAAATGTTTACAAATTGCAGTGCAATCTACTGTTTGAGAAATGTCAGATAAATGTATATACAATCACAGAGTCTTATTCCTCATAGAGTTCTTTGAGAAAATGAAACATGCTTTTATACCTCTCATTTTCATTTAAAGGCATATTTGTGCAATATTTATGTTAATGTGCCTATATATTATGAATGAATTATTGCAATTGTACATTACCTAAATCATGAAAGAACCAACAGTTTAGTTACAACTTTACAAAGCTCTGATATCTGGTTTGGAAAACTTCACACTATTGCAATGTTGGGAGATGTATATGTGTGCTCCCAGGGGTGGGGATTTCTGCTAAAGTTCTTAAACCACCTCCATTTTAGCATTTGCCATCATAGTAGTATTTTAAATGACATTCATAGGAAAGCAATAGTATCCATTTATAGATGGGTAAGAGAATTGCCTGCAGTCACTAAGAAACAATGCAAAGACTGATTCCAAACTGACTTTTCCACAATATATAGATTACCCGAATTTGCTTTTTATCTCCTCAACATTCTGTCTTTACATCCTTGAATTCAGTGTGTGGACAGCTGCTATTGTATAAGCCAAGGTCAGAAATTCAAGCACTGCTAATTAACTGCATTGTTCCATAAAGCCCTTTTTTCTGTTATAATTTTTATTTTGGGCTTTCTACTATACTGATAAATTACCCCAAAAGTATTTTTATAGGTCAAATCACTTGATTTCTCCATCACTAAGAGTAGACTACTAGAAATGGCACTCAGGTTGAACTCAGCATCTATGATCAGTCTGAAAATAACATGTTCATCAGATACCTGTGGTTTAAGTCATACACTGGCCCATCATTCAGAGTAAATGTCAGTCTAGAAAATAAATTTACTGTGTTAACCAGATACTGCCTGGGTGGGTATATTGTCATGTATTTGATAGGAAGCTGTAAGGAAGGACATTGTATGACGTATAATCATTTAAATCGTTCTTATAAGTGCATGCAATCTGTTGCAATACCTTATCAGTCATGTATTTGCTCTCTTCCTGATTTTCTGTAAGGCAGCTTTCTGTTGCTTAAAAGGAAAGAGCTTATTGGAAGCATAATTTAAAAATTGGAATACAATAGAATCAATCAGTTGGAACTTGCAGAAAATGCCTGGTTAAGATCACACTGTATGGCAGGCACTTCTAAAACATGTGCTTGAACTTGACAGCAGTGCAAGGGGGGAAAAAGCTACAGCCAAAACTCTTCTTTTAGAAAATTGGAAACTAAAAATTATCTATCGATTATATATTTTCTCTGAATCTTTGACTATTTTGAAATAATGCAACACTTAAAACGGTCACTGTTTTAAAATACAATATGGAGCTAGAGCTCAAAAGAAAGAGATTGGGGGGAGGAAATGCAAGAAAGAAATGAAGTCCAGGCCAAAGCTTTATCTGCCAAGTTTTCTTAGAATGAGTTTACCAAATTATGAATTTCTGTAAATAGCTGGTGGGAACACTGAGACCCTTTGCCTAGGGTGGCATTCTTACATGCTGCTGTGACGCTACTGTAATGTAATAAATTATTAAATTGTTGCAAAGTGATGTATTTGCCTTAAATTTTTATTTTGTGTGTCTTGAAAACTATAGTATTAAAGGTATTGAGATTGTGCAAATGCTGGGCACGCTTGGCATGAAATAATCTGTTTTTATTTTTACACAATTGTAATATAACTATGCAAGTGTGTTTATTAAAAGAACACAAACTCCATTACTTGTATTGTGTATTTCTTTTGAAGTATCCTTTTAAAACTTATTTTAATTGCTTAGATATAAGTGTGATTTAATGTCTTTGGAATTTCTCTTTTCTCTTAATTTAATCTCAGTGTACAGATCAATGGTCAAGATTTATATAATTTGAGATAATCATACATATCTCAAAAGCAAAAGATACTTTTATTTTGTTATGCTGTTACATAGAGAAGTAAGATGGTATAATCAAGGATAATAGAATTTTTTTCTTTTTTTTTTTGTTTTTTCTCTTTCTTTTTTTGAGATAGGGATTCTCTGTATATCCCTGGCTGTCTTGGAACTCACTTTATAAACCAGGCTGGCCTCAAACTCACAGAGGTTCACTTGCCTCTACCTCACAAGTGCTGGGATTAAAGGCATGCATCACCATACCTGGCAGAATATTTTATTTATAGTTTTTCCCACAATTTTTTTAAACTATTGAAAGAATCTTAGGAAACATTTTAGTGTAAACTAGGAGGCCAGTAAAGAACCCACAGCAGTTTTTCACGTACTGGACCTCTATAGCAGAGAACTACATTTGGTAACCACATTGGTTAAAATAAAAATAATGTATACAAATGTTATTTAGCAGAAACACCATCTTTTCCAAATCCTTTCTCTACAAAGCTGTCCTGATAATATGTGTTGAGTATTTATTTGCATGAGGTCAAGCAGAATACCAGGTGCAGGTGATAGTAAATGAGAGTGAGGGCGTCATAGCATGGCACTGTCACAGGGTGAGGACAGAAACACATAATTTAAGAGTCTGAGCACAGTGGCAGATTTTTCTCCCCTGCATTTTGAGGAGAGAAGAGAAATACCTACTGTACCTTAAAATGATGGGCAGGGAAGACTTGCTAGGTGGGGGCAGCAGCTGGCAGACCCATGAGATAGATAAGCAGAATAAGCCTGACTGGAGGCAGGTGTAGTCACAAGCACTGACCATTGCAGGGGTGGGGCCGTGAAGCCAGCCATGAGAGTAGAGGCTCTGGAGATGGTCGGCTTGCAGGGGTGGGGCCGTGAAGCCAGCCGTGAGAGTAGAGGCTCTGGAGATGGTCGGCTGGGACAACTCTCTAGGTTGACTCTGTGGGATGACAAAAACACTCTAAAGGACTTCTGAGTCCAGGTGTAGCCTGAGCACGGGGATGGTTTCCAGATTCTGGTATTCAGTAGAGGTGAAGAAAATGTGTAAAAGCTCTGAGGGGAAATTGGTAGAAGTTAGGGAGGAAATGTGAGAGGAGACTTTCAGCTAGTCCCCATTTGTATGCCGAGTGGCAGAATGGGATAACAGGGTACCTGTGCCATGTGTGGATCCAGAGTTGGGGGAGGAAGGTGAGTTTGGTTTGGTTTGGTTTTACTGCAAAGCACCTATGGGCTGTCCAGATACAAAAGATACAATCTAGATGCCCAGCATTGGATAGGCATCAGTTGGGAATGGGCACTACTATGGACTGGGCATCACCAGGTATACTGGTGCTTTAGAACACCAGAAGTAGTTGAGGCTCCCTAGAGAGAGGCTCAGACTTATGTGAGATTCTCAGCTAAGGACTGAGTAGTGAGAGGACCCGTGACAAGGGAATTCTGCCTGTGTCATTGTGGTACTGGAAAAACAAAAAAGAAGAAGGACTCACCAGATACTTTTCTAAGATTCATGAACAAAGTGAGTTCATGCTGTGAATCCCATATACTCATGTGCTGATGCTTCCACTGCCTTTAGAGCTGTGAGGTCCTGGTGGTACACATTGCTCGTGCCAGTAAAGAGAGGAAAAATACACGCAGAGAAGAGGCAAGGATGGAAGATGATGGCTAGAGCCTGTAGCAATAGCATCCAAAAAGAGAAAGCTGCAAAGAATTGCCATCTGACTGAGGAGTAATTCATACACGTCAATAAAGTGCACAGCTCAGTGGTTTAGTGTGGTTACAGTCATGCAGACATTGCTATAATCAATTAGAAAATACTTTCATCACCTCAGGAGAAAAACTTTTAAATTGTCTCTCTCCTACCTTCCTGTAACTACATGTGCACGTGCGCACATAAGGACATACCACCTACACAGTCCCTAGCCCCAGGAAACCACTAATTCACTTTCTCTCTTCATATGTTTGCCTGTTCTGGACAAACATGGGTTTTTTTGTGACTGGCTTACTTCATCTATGTTGTAGTATGTATTGATGCATTTTTCCTTTTTATAGCCAAGTTAAAATTGTATTGTTTGGCTATGCCGTGTTTTCAGATCATGTAGCATGTTGTCTTGTAACAACCATACTGTTCCAAAGTCACAGTGCTATGGCATCGCTCCTGCCAGCAACGAAGGAGCTTTTGTTGTGCCAGCATTTGCTATTATGTTGTGACTTCTGGCCAAGCTAATGTGTGTGTTGGTATCTTGTTTTAATATGCATTTCCCTGAAGATAGATGGCATACAGCATCCTTTTTCAAGGCAGGATCTCATTAAGTAGCCCTGACTGGCCTTGAACTCACAGAGTTCCCAATTGCCAGGATTAAAGGTTTGCTATCACATCCTGGCTATAGCCTCTCTTCTTTGGTGAGGTGTTAAGGCCTATGAGTCATTCTTTTTTTTTTCCCCCCCCCAAGACAGGGTATCTCTATGTAGCTCTGGCTGTCCTGGAAATTGCTTTGTAGATCTAGCTGGCCTTGAACTCACAGAGAGCCACCTGCCTCTGAATCCTGAGAGCTGGGATTAAAGGCCTGCACTGCCACTGCCCAGCCCTATGGCCCATTCTTTAAATCAGGTGTTTTTGTCTATTGTTGAATTAGTTGTACACTTTGAATTACAATCCTGAGTCTGATATAGGTTTTATAATTATTTTTTCCCAGTCTGTGACCTTTTTCTCTTAACCCTGTCTTTTATAAAACAGCAACAAAAAATAAATTTTAGTGAAGTCCAGATTATTATTTTTTGTGTATTATGCCTTTTGTGGCATATATTACATCTTCTCGGAACCCAAGGTCACGTAGGTTTTCTCTCTCCTGGGACTTAAACATTTTGTGGCTCACATTTGAGACTTGAGCACGGTGCGCTCTAGGTTAACTCTGATGAGGAACAGGCCTGTCTGTAGTCTGTCTCACACCTGTAGCTGTCACATGTTCCAGAGCCATCTACTGAGATTATGTTCTCTGTTATTGCCTGTGCTCCTCTGGCAAAGATCATTTAGCTGTTTCCTGAGTCGATTTCTGAGTTTTTTTGGGTCTCATGGTCAGTTCATCTGTTCTCTTGCTTGTACCACGCTGTCTCGGTTCCTGCAGGTCAGTGCTGAGTCTCTTGTCTTCTTCCGTACTGTGGTGGCTATGCTAAGTCTTACCTCTCCACATCAACTTCAGAATTAATTTTTGAACCACTTTTTTTTTTTTTGCCTTAAACAAGAACGAGGAATTATGAAATGTTCTTACAAGACTTCATGCCATTGTCAAAAGGCAACCATCACTCAGTGTTCACTTCAAAGGATAAATGAAGCTGCCCTGGGAGTCCACGCCTGGTCTGTCACTGAGGATGAGAGCCACACCATACATTCAGCATTTTGGAAGCACTAGTTCACGGCATAGTCAGTTCTAGAAACAATAGCTGACGCGTTGAACATTTTCTGTGCAGCATACAGTTAACCTGGCATTTGGGGTTGACAGATTGAAGCTCAAATCCATCCTGACTCTGGAATTCATGTTCCTGCTTTTCCTTAACCAGGGCTTGCTTTTCCTCCAAACCAGAAAAGTAGAGCAATCACCAGTTAATCCGAGGTGAGGTGAGATGACGTGATGAAAAGAATGGCTTTGGGTGAATCCTGGTAGGCCCTGGAAGAACCTGCCCCTGGGACCTGAGTAACACTGGTGCTTATCTGTCAGGAGGTGCTAAAGAACAAGTGTCTCCTAGACCCAGCAGTGTAGGGTGCTCTCCAGCCACGGAATAGTGGACGCTGGAAATAGGAACTGCAAGAATATCCCATGGGGAGGTGAGAGGTGTGTAGGTGGCTTATGATACTAAGGAAGGGTAGGTTTATGAAGCCCTCTGCCCACGGACAGTGCTGGGTGACTGAGTACTGATGCAAAGTGCTGCAGCAAGTAGCTACAAGGTTCTAATTGTGTGCCAGGGTAGAGGGTGCATAAAGGCCTATTATGTCACTAAGACACAAAAAGTTCAAGGAAAGTAAAGGTCATGTTTTGTTTGCAGTGCCTGGGGATGTTTGATAGAGTGTTTATTCTAAGTCTTTTTTTTTTTCTCCAGAAATCAGTTCAGGGTCACACCAGGTCAGGTGTACCCCTGGCATCCAGTGAATGCTGTGTAGAAACTGCTTACCATTGCCTTTCCTTCCAACATAAGAAACCTGGTAGCTCTGAAGTCCTTCTCCGCCACCCAACTACAGAATCTCTGTCCTCTATTCAAGAGGGTTCAGTTACATTAGTCAGAGGTAGGTCACATATTGTTAGAATCAAAACTTCTGGATTAGATGCAAGGAAGGAGCCCATTCTCTTGCTGAAGTCTGAATCTAAAGAGCATATCACTTCAGTCCACGTAGGGTAGGACACGCATAGATCCTAGCCGGAAGTAACTGCCAAGGACAGAGTCAGTGCCCTGGTCTTTGTGGAGATGTCCGGGTGTGAGGACCACAGATCAGATCCCCAGCACCACTTAAGGACTGCAATCCAAGCACTCAGGAGGCAGAGACAGGGATTTCCCTGGATTGATCTGGCTTGCTAGACTAAAATCTGCAGGCACCAGGTTCAGCAAAGGCTCCACTTCAGTAAGTCAAGGAAGGTGCCCATCGGCAACCTCTGGCCCCCATCCTTCCTCACACACACACGCATATAGTGCACCTATACATGTGAACATCCATTCATAAGTCACGCATGTAAGTACACACAGAAAAAAGTTCTCTGTTGTCTTAGGATTATGATCTTTCACAGCAGGTTAAGAAATGAAAATAAATTGATAAATGTATCCCTTTGCACATATCAACAAGCTTGCTTTGGGGACATTCTAGGATACTGTTATTGTGTGGTAGCTTTCTTATGTTCTAAAACATTTTAATACAGTTGCATTTAAATAACCAACCTACGGCTTGATTACAACTCAGTAGGCTTCAGAAAAATACACAGGTGCCCAAGCTGGTGGAGTACATGGCGTGTGCCTTTAATCAGAGCACTTGGGAGGTAAGGCAGAAGAATCAGACAGCATAGCTAGCCTATGTCTCTGAAAAAATAAGAAGAAAGAACTTTTAAATTGTTTTTAAAGGGCACTTCCCTAGCATGCATGAAGCTCCTGGTTTGATCCCCAGAATTACCAGCAAATAAATAAAAATTTGTTAAAGAATTATTTAAATTTCCAAAAAAATATATTTACCTATCACTTTATGGTAGAAATACTATCTTGGTGCATTGTTTGTCCTTAATATGTATTTACCAAGTAGATAAAAAAATATTGTTTTATAAAATAGCCATTTTCTAGAGTCCTGATAAGAGTTGGGCATCAAGGCAATCTGCAGAGAGTTGCAGTTTAATCTTCTGGGTTTACTGTTGGGAGCTCGTCTCTTCACAGAGCTCCCACACAGTACAGCTGACAATTATATTCAATACTCAGAGTGGTTAGCAGAGCGGGGCTCACAGAGAATGGCATTGTTCAGTGGCCTCGCTCTCCTCAAAACGGGTGAGGAGTTTTCTGGCATTTAGGACCTAATCTGAACAAGCAGCCTGTATCAGCCAGCACAGCCTGTCCTTTGTCCTCCGCCTTTTGGGATCTTCCCAGACCTTCTCATCTCTCGCCTAAGCGTCTCTCTTTGGCTTCTTGTTTGCCCAGGGATTTAGAACAGTGGTTCACAACCATGTCAGTGGGGCAGAGTTTTCATCAGTCATGGTTTCTAGTGTGTCTCCACATCTACCCACACTGTGAGGGCCTGTAGTCCAGCTCACTCTGCCCGTCCAAGAATTTTGATCTATTGTTTCTTCTCTGTCCATTCTCCCTGTCCATCAGGGCCTACAAGGAAATTTTCATCACTTTTTGTGACCTGTAGGACAGGGTATAGCTCCTCTCACATTTACCAGTTCTTAAAGAAAACCTACTCGTGTATCACGCACTGTGGA